CTGGCAAACACTTTAACCATCTGATTAAGGAAATGCTCCGCTTTCATTCAAATGCAACTCTATTTCCTTCATTTCAACACAGTTCACCAAGCCTCCTGTGAGCACCTGTTCTGTGCTCAGTGCAGAGAGTTGGGAAAAAGCCAGCCCTGCCCTCAGGTAACCGCAGCCTGGGGTTAGAGCCCAGCTCTGGGGTTCTGCCCCCGGCCACGCAGTGGTTCGGCCTGGTGCGATCTCCCTTCCGCCAGCACCAGCTCTGTGACCTAGGGCTAGTTTCTTGCCTTCTATGAGCCTCGGTTTCCTAGTCTGTAAATTGGGGATAAGAAAAGAACACAGCTCATAGGCGTATTGTGAGGATGGAAAGATAGAATGCCTCTGGAATGCTCAGAATGGTGCCCAGCATGTGCCGTGTGCCCCACAGCGGTTAGCTGCTGGGGCGTGCTCTGAAGGGGTGGGCCCCATGTGCTGTGGGTGCGGCAGGAGAGACCCCTGACCCAGCAGAGCCAGGCTGTGGGAAGACCAGGGGAAGCAGCCTGCCCGGCAGCTGGCAGCCTGGGAGGCGAAGGAGTGACAGAAAACAGAGGTCTGGACAGACCATCCTCTTGGGCAGGAATCGGCAACGCTGTCCTGGGAAGGCCAGAGAGCAAATCTCCCCGGCTCTGCAGGCCACAGGGTTCCTGCCCAAACACCGCACTCTACCATCACGCACGGAGGAGCCAAGGACAGTCAGCAAGCGGGGGCGGTGGTGCTCCCACCAAACCTCATGTGTGGGCACTGCACACTGAGTTCCACGTGGTTCCTTGTGTCGCCAAACACCATGCTCCTCTTTATTTCTTCCTCAACCACTTGAAAATGTAGAAACCATTCTTGGCTTGCTGGCCATACAAACGCAGGCACCATGGTTACTCTCTGCCTGTTTCCTCCTCTGTCTTAAGGGCATATTCAGCACCCACTGCCTGGCATTAAACAGAACCTGGCACGTGGTGTGTGCCCAGGAAGCAGCGGCTGCAGCGTAGGTGGTGAGAGGCCACGGGTCACGGCCGGCTCAGGGTTCGGATTGCAAAATAAAAGCAGTGACAGGCTCGTTAAAACCAAGCAAACAGAAATGCTTCCCGTGAACAGGAAAGACGACAAACAAGGTGAAGTGAGCCACTCCAACCCCAGGTCGGAGCTGGGCCGGACCAGAGATCCTGCGGCTGTCATCTGAGCCACCCACGCAGGGCTTGGAAAGGACCTTCTGAAAAACAAGTGCCAAAGTCCTTGGGGACCTCCCACGCCCCACCCCACCCCACAGAGGGTCTCTGATGGGGTGTCTTGGGGCAAGAGAAAAGAAAGGGGCTTTGTGAAATGTTTGCAAGGGCTGCTGCAGGAGGAAGAGGGAAACTTACAGGAGCCCCTATTGGCCAAAATGCGACAGCCTGACCCCTGAAAGGAAATACAAACCAGTTAAACAGGGCACGTTTAAAAGCTCAACATCCCCCGGGGCTGTAATAACCCGTAACTTCAAACGGGTGAAGTTAAAATGTAGAAAAGGTTAGTTTTTAATAAAAAACATTAATTGTTTTTTAAAGTTCCTCCTCCTGCTCAGCCCCTTACAACGAATCTGAAAGCCTTTCCAGGCCCACGGACCTGTCCAAAGGTCACATGGTGTTTGGAATCCACTTAGGGTCCATCTGTGGTGGCCCCGAATCTTACATGTCATCATCTCACAGTCCCGGGAGAAGTGACCGTTCTTAGCCCCCATTGCACATATGAGGAAACTGAGGCACAGAGAGGTAAAGTGGCTAAGATCTCACCAAAGGACAGTGGTGGAGAAAAGGGCTTGACTCAGACGCTCAGGTCCCAAGCCCATGCCTGACCCACACTGCCCCTGAAGGAAGCGGGTGCCCAGACAGGGGTCCCATAGGAGGACGGACGGGGCATAGGAGTGGGCGTGCGTCCGTGTGTGTGCACGGAGCAGGCAGTGCAGGCTGGTGCTCGCACTCCCCGGGGCGCTGGCCCATCAGTGCAGCACCCCTGAAGTCCCCACGGCTCTTCTGACCAGTCTGGGCCTTTGGTCCTCGCTCTGCTCGGCCCAGGGCCCCTCATACACATCGTTCTTCCCTCCCTTCCTGCTGCTGACCCCATGCCTCTCTGCCTGACTCCCCTCTCTAGACAGGGCCTGTGGAGGGGTAGGGTCTCCCCAGGTGCCCCTTACTTACAACCAGCCCACGAGACCTTACTATGATGCAAGGGAATCAGCCCAGACACTGCAATCGACAAATCCGGAAGTAACCAAGTGAACAAGGCTTCCCCACCATGGCTTGTGGTTCGTGGGACACAGTGCCTTTAAGAATGGCCCCTGGGATTGTCACTACTTGTTTTCCCAGCCCACCCCGCCCCTTATTCCCAGGACGTGTGTCCAGAGGGCCTCTCTGCAGCATGAAATCCTAGGGGAGAGAGCGAGGGAGGACAAGGAAGGACTGAGCATGGAGCCCTTGGCTCTGAAGGGGCAGGGCTGCAGCCCTGAGCCCTCACTTGCCCCCGGCCCAGCCTGAGCTCCTTCTCCTCCTCTGCTGCCCCTTCTTCCCCATGCAGCTGTGCGCCCCTCCTGCACCCAGCCAGGTCAGGGACACACACAGACCCTCCACAGCCTCCAGGAAATGTCCCCATGGGGCATGTCACAGCTGTCTCTGTCCTCTTCCTTCTGTGGCTGGCCCCAGAAACCAGCCAAGAGGCTAAAGGGTAAGGGGTCACCTCCATTAATACGCTAAGTGCCACTGACGCTGTTACCGAGGCTCAGAACAGAGTGACTTGTCCAGAGTCACACAGTCCAGGCACAGCAGGAACAGCTGCCCGAGCTGGGAAGGGTCACCTGATATCCTCCTGGCTAACGGCAGCTTTGTGCAAGGCAACTTCCTGCCCCAGTTCCTGCCCCTCCTGAACTCAGGGCCTCCACTGGACGTGCAGAGCTCCTTCCTCCCAGGCAGGCAGAGACTGGGCGTTGCGGGGCTCAAGGAGCACACGGCCTGTGTGCTGTGGTCCTCAGCACCTGAGAGCCCCAGAGGAGGAGGAGGAGAAAGAAGAGAAGGGGGGCCGGGGATTGGACCACAGCAGGAGGTGTCACTGCTAACAGAGCACCGGGAATTGGAGGTACAGTGGGCGGCACCAATCCCCAGGCTACTGGGCTGAGAGGACTGAGAGGCCACTGCCTGGATGGTGGGGTGTTTGCCACTATCTGTTCAGTGCGAGAGTTGGGAGGGGCAGCTGGGCTTGGGGCTCCATTGTACAGTTGGAAAAGCTGAGGCACGGCGAGGAGAAGAAATGCCCAGGAGGTATGGAGGGTGGGCTCACCTCAGCCACAGCCCAGCTCTCTCGGCTGCCAGTGGACCCAGAGCCCTGGGGGGAGTTGCCCGCTCCGTCAGCTCAGGGGAGGAGTCAGGGCCCTGAAGCCAGACTGTGGAACTGGAGAGTAGGAAGGGTGTGGGGAAGGGAGTCCTCTCTCTCTCTGGGCTCAGCTGTGCTCTGCATGGGGTGGGGCGTAACCCCGCAAGGGGTTACTGAGAGTACTGCATGAGAGAGGCCTTGAGGGAAGCTTCTGGAATGCCCCCTTGCCTACCCGGAGGATATCAGGGGGCCCTCAAGCAGGAACGGGTGTATTGGCAGGCCACATCCCAAGGGCTCTCTGCGCAGCAGCTCTGGGCACTGAGCTCCCCGTGAGCTGCCCTACCTAATCCTCGCAGCAGTCCCATGAGTAGGTACTGCCGTGACCCCACTTTACAGATGGGGGAACTGAGCCACAGGGAACCTAGAGCTTCTCGAGGCCTCACAGCCAATGAAGGGGGTAGCAGTGGTCCCTGGTCTGAGCCTGTGTGCTGGAGGGACCTGTGGGCCACTCACCTGGCCAAGGCCCACAGCTGTGACTAGGGGATGGATGACAGGAGGGACAAAAATGCACCCGTCCTCTCACGCAGCAGGCATCTGTGAAGCACACGTGTGCCAAGCAGGCGCGGGGTGCCGCAGACAGCGTGATGTGGTCTGCCGTAGGCTCTTCACGGGGTCACGGGGCCTGCTGGCCTCAGCCCTGCACCACCACCCGGGCCCCACCTGTGTCCCTGAGGACCTGTGACCGCCCCAGGACAGACCTGGTCCCCAGGAACTATTCCAGCAGTGGTGGACCTCACTGCTCTGGAGGCAGCCACAGCCCAGAGCAAGAGAAACAGGCCTGAGGCTGCCCAGGCGAGGAACTTCCTCGGGTCGGAGAGGCCTGGAGGGCAGGGCTGAACACAGGGCTGTGCAGACCAGAGGAGAGTGCCCGCTGCAGCCAGGCGCTTTACGTAGGTCACGTTGTATGTATGTCCTGACAGCCACACTCGGGAGTGGGACTTCTAAACCCTGACAGTGCAGATGGAAATACCTGGTTCAGAGAGGTGAGGCTGTGTGCCAAAGGCAGCACAGCTCTTCTGTCTAGACTGACTCTCTGACCCCTGATCAGTGCCCATGGCCAGACATGTCCAACTACAGTGACTGTGTCCCCATCGGTCACACCCCACTTCCTCCACAGGAAGTTGAGAGTTTTTGTAGCCCAGGCTGGCTTAGTGATTTTGATTGAATGAGCAGCCTCTCTGCTCTGGGCCTCAGTTGCCCTGTCTGCCAAATGGGCACGGAACCCACTGCACGCCCCACCCCCAGGGCAGTGTCTTCCGCAGCGGGTGTTCCGAGGCAGCTCCATCAATGGTAGCTCTTGCAACCAATAAGGCAGCCACTGAGCACTCCCCAGCAGGAGTGTAGTGCCAGGAAAGTGGTGTTGTTCCAAAGCCTCTGAGTCATGCCACCCCACCCTGGACACAGGACACTGTGGTTTAGGTGCAGGGACTCCCTTTGGTCTATGAAGCAGAGGCCTGTGTGCTCCCTGAGCACAGCACAGGCAGGCAGCATGGGTGGGCGGCTCAGTGTCTGGCAGATGGACTTAGTCCCTGTTTGCTCTTCTGGTAATTGAGCTGACCTTGGTTAATATTCACCAGCAGCCTCCCCATCTGAGACTCAGCCCCTCTGCGTCTACTGCTTAAAACAGTGGAGGACAGGGCCCTGTCCCCTCAGCCTGGGTCATCAGCTGGTCCTGGGACACTCAATCGTAAGTATGCCTTCCACCGAGGGGAGACTCTGCAGGGGCCTCTGGGTCCCTGCACTGCCCAGGCAGCCTGCAGGGTGGGGTGCAGAGAAGACGGAGCAGGGTGGAGGGGGGCCTCCTGTTGTCATAGTAACAACATCCCAGAGGTTCTTTCCTGCTCCCTCGGCTTGCCCAGGGCCCCCGAGCACTCACTGGTGAATTGCTGGCCCTCTGGAAACAGAAGCGGAGGTGGGCATCTGGCTCTGGTGTCCAGGGGCCCGGGGGCAAGCAGGTTCTGTTGGCTCAGCTCCAGGGTCTGTCCTGTCTGCTGATGCCTATAGGCCTCACCTCGCCTACTCCCGGGGTGTGTGTTGTTTGCCCCTTCTTCAGATGAAAAATTAGGGCCCAGAGAGAGACAGTGAGGACCTCAGGCTAATGTAGGGTCCTGGTGGGGAAGCCAGGCTGGACTAGAATCCCAGGTTTCCAGCCACCCACCGGGCCCCCAACCTCTGCAGAAATGCCCAGAAAAGAACGGTGCCAGGCTCAGCCTAGAGGTACCAGAATGGGCCTCTGGGCACCCTCAAGCACAGCGCAAGACGGGACGCCCTGGGAGGGACACCTCACGGGCACTCCGAGCCATGTTCCTAAGCCTTCGCTCTGGCCCTGTGGCTTCGAAGCTCCTTACACACAGTCCCAAATTTAAGCTTCCCAGCTGCCTCCTGAGGTGGTTACCATGGTTATATCATTTTACAGAGGAGGAAACTGAGGACAGAGAAGTTCATAACCTGCCCCAAATTACACAACCCCCTTCCTCGGTCCAGAAGCCACGCTCCTGAAACCATTCTTACTGTCAACATGAACTCTCTTGGACCTCAGGCACCAGATGCGGGGGAGTGGGGGGGTGGAACCTGGCCTGGCCTCGTGGTCTCTCAGATGCTGGGTGACCCCAGACAGTTATTCAACCTCTGTGTCCTCTTGAGTGAAATGTAGATAACCTTTGTCCTCTTTCTTCTCACACCACCCACAGTGGCCTTGACCTCTGGAGTGTTAGCAGGATATGGTTTTTCTGTCTTTGGATTTTGGAGATGAGGTTACAAAGGTAACCAAGGCCAAGGCCACCAGACTCCCACATAGTGCTCTGAAAGATCCACAATGTTGATGACAATTGACACTTCCTGAGAGCTGACTGTGTGCCAGGCACATCTTCACACCTTGTACCTGGTTAATTGCACAACAGCACTATGAGGCAATGAAGCCTTGTTATTTCCAGAGAAGCAAGACTCAGAGAGGTTAAGTAACTTGCCCAAGGTCACACAGCTGACAGTGAATGGAACTCAGGCATTCTGATCTCAGCCAGGTGATGCTGCCCTCTTCATTTGGCCAGGCTGCCTGTTTTGAGAAAGGTTAAATGCCAAGTTCCGGAACCAAAATGCCTAGGGTTCAATCCCAGCTCCATAAGCAACTAGCTCTGTGGCTTTTGGTAAGTTACCTAATCTCTGTGGTCCTCAAGTTCTCCACCCACATAAGGAGCTAACCATAACTCCCCCCTCCGAGGGGAAGCTCGGAGGGACTGGACGAGGCTGAGTACATCAAATGCCCGCTGTCGACTCTGTGATGGTGGTGATAGGGACAATGACGCTTGTGGGCACAGGGTTTGGCAGCTACTAGGCAACAAATTAATACTCGGAGAACTGAATTTAAAATGTTCCCAGCTCAGAGGTGGTTTGTTGCTAAGCAGGGGCCCCTTCTCTGGCCCTGGGCCATGCAGTACTTAGCCAGGAAGACGGCTGCCGGTTCTCAAGCCTGACCCGGCCTGAGTGCAGGTGTGGGGAGCTTCCACCCGGGCTGGGGCCTGTCCACCTACCGCCCCGTTCCTCACTTCTGCCTTGCAAGGGAGTCTTTTCTCTACAGGCAGGAAGCTGAGGCTCAAAGAAGTGAAGTCACTTGCCCAAGGCCACGTGCCCTGAAGACCCAGGGCTGGGTCACACCCAGGCTTCTTCAGTGCCAGGCTGTGCGACCTTAAGGTGCAGTCGCTTCCTGGCTCTCTCTGGATCACGCTCAGTCACTGCTTTTATGCTCCTGAGACTGGGCACAAGGCCCGACTCCCTTCTCTCTCTATGAGCTGGCAGAGCCTGCCCCCACCTGTCCCCACCTGCCCCGGGCCCGGGCGCTGTCACCATGCCATCTTCTTTCTCTTTGCCGTAAAGCTTAGTCCACACACCTCTGGGTGCTGCGCCAGCTACTTCCTCACCTCTGGGCAGCACGAGGCTTTGGGGGGGTGTCGGGTGCTGCCTTCCACAGAAGGGCAAGGAGAGAGCAGAAGTCTCAGAGCCTGAAGTTGTAAGGAATAGATTGGAAGGCAAAATGAAGCCAATAGGAGGCTCAAGGCCAATGTCAGTGTCCCTCGGGCCCAATTCTGACACTCACAGAATCTGAGACCTGAGGACACGGCTGTGTCAATCTGATGTTCTAGTGGTGGGAAGCCAAGGCCTGTTACAGCTTTGTCACTGGGTTCCTGTGTGGCCTTGGCAAGGCCCAGACCCCCTCTGGGACTCGCACCCCTACTGTAAGAGAAAGAAGCTGCATGAGGGGTATGCCCCGCCCCCCAAGAAGATGGGCCAGTGTGACAAGGACCCACCCCCACCACAGTCCCACAGTCCTCACCACCTTCTTAGAGACCAGCTGCCCTCCAAGGGAGAGGGCGCCTCACCTACCCCTCCCCATGGGGAGCACCTGTTGCTCCCCCAAACCCAGATACCCCTCTAATTAAGAATCCATCACTAGCACACAGGGACCTCATTTAAGCCACCCCACCTGGACTGACCAGGTGGGGAGAGCAAGGCCTCAGGCCAAGAAGACACTTGCCCAAGGCCAAGTGGACAGCAGTGGTCTTGTCAGGGCTACAAGCCACCACCTCTGGCCAAGAGACCCCTCACCACAGTCAGTGTTCCTGCCCCACCAGGGCCCAGATCCCTCCAGGTCTGTGAGTCTGACTGCGACGGGGAATCCCCGCCGGCCCTGAAGGGCTGCACCGAAGCCCGGGGGGCAAGTGGAGAGAAACCAGCGGGCGAGAGAGCTTGCGGAACCGAGTTTAGCACCGTCTTCAGCTCCAAACCACCAGGCCAGTCCAAGAAAAACATACACACCCGTTACGTAGCTTGCAGCCTGCTCCATCTGGGTGCTCACAAATGTAAAGACCAGAAGAAAGTGGAGAAAGAGACCAGTGTTGTGCTCCACTTTGCTGTTTTATTGGGGAAAAAACTTAAAAAATCCAAGGGGGTAGGGAAACCCAGCATGTATTTCCAACTTTTTCCCCTCAGGTTTTCATATGCCAAGTTCAAGGACTCCTGTGCCTTTGTACATTCTTAAAATGGTCATTTTAGTTATGTGGGTCATGGTTGGCTACGTGGCTGCAGGCCAACAGGGAACATTCGCCTCTGCTCTGGCCTCAGTTTCCCCATCTGTGAAAACAGAAGGTAGCACCTGGGGACCTGCAGCCCGGTGGCTCGAAGCTGGGCGTGTCTGGAGGAGAGGGAGCGCTCTGGAGCGGGTGGGCTAGTGTCACTGTAGGTGGCAGTGGCTTTGCCGGTCACCAAGTAGAGTCTGCTCTTGCCGGTTCAGCCACAGGCCTTGCCACTCCCTCCTGCCTACACAACTCAGAGCTGCTCCTGCCCGCCGGCCTCAGAAAGCTCCTGCTGCAGCCCCCACTAGCCTGCCCTGACGGCTGCATCCTTAGACCCCCTGGGTAAGATCTGGTGTCTAGACCTGTCCACTAAATCCTCCCAACAACCTCACGGTCTTGTACGAGGCAAAACAAGGGCCAGAGACACCAAATGACTTGCACCCAGAACCAGATCTGTCTGAAGAAAAAAGATGCTTTCTTAGCGCCTCTCCCCACCCCCAATTCACACAAACCCCCATCACCCGACACAGACAACATCTCTAACCCCACATGGCCTGCTGGGCCCAGAGCTGGGACATGGGTGGTGACCAGGAGGAGCAGCCTGCAGGGACTGCAGCCGATTCATGCAGCTGAGACCACAGGCTCATTGTAAGGGTAGTACTCCCACTCAGGAAAAACCACTAAGGCCTGAGGTTCACTGTGAGTGGCCAGGGCACAGCCACCCAGCTGAGTTTCCTCCAAGTTCCATCATGTAAGGCTCTGTGTCCTTGCACAAGATCCTTCCCTCTCTGCGTATTAAATAACAGGACTCCATGGCAGCCCCCCAGGGCTGTTCCAGATCCACTCGACCCTGGGCCTGACCTGGCCTGCCTTCTGGGTAATCGTCAGCATGTACATTATGCATCCCATGCCTCAGTCTCCACTATGATACAGTGGGGGCTGTGGCACCAGCACCTCAGGGTCACTGCAGGCATTAGTGCAGCCACCAAGAAAGTGAACTCTGGACCCAGACTACCCACGTGTGTGATTCTCACGAGTCTTTCAGTGAAGATGATGTTGGAAAGGGCTCAGCACAGCCCTGCACGGAGCAGGTGTTTCATAAACTCCGGGTGCTGTGCGCGGTGTTACCCAGAGGCCAGGGGACTCATTGCATGGTCTGACTTGGTATGATGCCCCTTCTCTCTCGCAGGAAAATGCCATCCGCCATCACGTGGGGCCTCCTCCTGCTGGCAGGCCTGTGCTGCCTGGTCCCGGCCTCCCTGGCTGATGGTCCCCAGGGAGACACTGTCCAGGACACAGACGCATCCCAGCACGATCAGGAGGCAGCTAGCCACAAGATTGCCTCAAACCTGGTTGACTTTGCTCTCAACTTCTACAGTCAGGTAGAAAAGCAAAATGACACCAACATCTTCTTCTCCCCGGTGAGCGTCGCCACAGCCTTTGCCATGCTCTCTCTGGGGGCCAAGGGTGAGACTCACACCCAGATCCTAGAGGGTCTAGATTTCAACCTCACTGAGAAAGCGGAGGCTGATATCCACAAAGGCTTCCAGAGTCTCCTCAAGACCCTCAACCAGCCAGACAACCAGCTGAAGCTGACCACCGGCAATGGCTTGTTCATCAATGCGAGTGCGAAGCTGGTGGGTACGTTTTTAGAGGATGTCAAGAAACTGTACCACTCAGAAGCCTTCTCCGTTAACTTTAGGGACTCCGAAGAAGCCAAGAAACAGATCAACGATTATGTAGAGAAGGGAACCCAAGGAAAAATTGTGGATCTCGTCAAAGAGCTTAACGAAGACACTGTTTTTGCCCTGGTGAATTACATCTTTTTTAAAGGTAAGGTTGCACGACTGGCCTGAGCTTGTCCCTGTGGAAACCCAAGACTACTCTCAAACACTCAGCCCTGAACTCCCCCGGGCAGTGCAGGGCGCTCTGACTAGGCCTCTCTGCTCGGGCGGCTGGGCTCCCCCACACAACCACTGACAAGCTCTCCAAGGCCAAATGCGCTCGGGAGGCCATGGGTCAGAGGGTCAAAGCAGCATCTTCCCTTCGGGGCTTGTTGGGGCCTTTTGCACACATTCTCCTGAGCATCGTAAGTCCCCCCCCCCAGGGAGGGAGGCCGTCTGTGCAATGTCTCCCCAGACAGACAGCCAGAAGCACAAGCTTTAGCAAAGTGTATAAAGGAAGTGGGGTTTCTTGAATTATACATTGAACAACTAACTCTAGGGCAGTGAAAGGAGTGACAGCTTGAGAGTCAAAAGCCAGGGCTCAAACCCTGCCTCTACCACTTCCTAGCTGTTTGGCTGCTGGCAAGTCATTTTACCTCTTTGAGGCTCCCGTCTGGAACCTGAACATAACATCACCCTTGTTGTCACGTTTCTGTAGGGAGCAAGCATGTTGCAAAGAACATAGGACTATGGGCTCACAAAGTAGGTGCCCAACTAAACTTGAGTCTCAGCCTCCCTTCCTCCCTCTGACTGATGAAAATGTCAGAAAGCTGTGAGTCCCAGAGGGCATTCTGAGGCTGTTTAACAGTCCACAGAAAATGGAGCTAGCCTAGCACAGGGGAGCTGAGGGTCAAGGTCAGGGGCTACTTCCTGCCCACCCACTGGCTCTGTGGTCCGAGGCAGAACAGTGCAATGGAGACGGCAGAGGCCACAGTCAGCCCAGTCGGGTCCCAGCTCTGCCGTGGGGCTTTAGGCGGGCCCTGTCCCCTCTCCAGCCCCAGTCTCCGCCTCCCACCCAAACAGAAACTTGGGCTCAGGGGTCCCCGAGGCTGCTGTCCACTCTGACTTGCTAGGATGGTGACGGTCTCCTGGCACAGCAGAGGGGAGAGGCCCAGGCCTCCACATTTCACACGTTGGTCCAGGAAGAGGCCATCACAGTGAGAACAAGGGTGATTTCCCTCAATGGTAAGAACCACTGATTCACAGGTGGGTGGGGGGAGGCACTCACACACGGCGTGCTGAGTATGACTGAGGTGGACAGTGGTCATGTAGAGTCTTCCGAGCAGCCCTCAATCAGATGAGCACGAGGTACAAGTCAAGCTTCTCACCCTGCCAGCCTGACTGGCCCCCCTCTGCCTCTGCAATACAGAAAACCTGGGCCCCACACAGGCCTGGCACCGTCCTCACGAAAGTCCCTTCAGTGGACCGCTGCTCATGTGAGCCCCAGTGCACAGATGGGGAAGCTGAGGCTCAGAGGGGGCCTGCTCAGGAGGGGGCTCAGGGCTCCTCCATTTTACCACAGGTGCCTAACCCTTCCCGCCCCTGACTGATCTGCACCCTCAACCCTCTCCAGGCAAATGGGAGAAGCCCTTCAATGCAGACCAGACCACAGAGGGGGACTTCCATGTGGATGCGGCCACCACTGTCAAGGTGCCCATGATGCACCGGCTGGGCATGTTCGACCTGCACTACTGTGAGCACATGTCCAGCTGGGTGCTGCTCATGGACTACCTGGGCAATGCCACCGCCGTCTTCCTCCTGCCCGACGAAGGGAAAATGCAGCACCTGCAGTCCTCATTCTCTCCAGAAATCCTCGTCAAGTTCCTGAGAAAGAGATCCCCAAGGTGATGTTCTAAACCAGAGGCTGGCTTGTCACATAAGGCCTGGATAAAAGGGGGTCAGTTGGACCCACATCCCGTGGGCCAAGCAGCTGTGTGTGACCTTGTGCATCCACAGAGGCCAGCATCCAGTCAGGTAGCACCCCCGTGAGAGGGACAGTGCCCACAGCTCAGGAAGCCAATTTCTGCCCTTGGCGAATTCCCACATGGACACTGCCCCTTCCTGGAGCCCCCACCGGGCGCAGGAGCAGCAGTACCACACGCACCATGAGGGGACCAAGAGGGAAGCAGCGGGCTTCCCGGCAGGGGTGGCAGTTGTATGTAGAGAGGAAAGACAGAATGTCCGCGGCTGGGCAGAGGGAGAATCCGCTTGGAGAGGCCAGAAAAGCAAAGGCCCAGGTAGGGACTGTCCCTGTCCCTCCATCACTGGGTGTGGTGTCACTGGGTCCCTGGGGGTGAAGGGATGCACCCCAAACTAGTATGTATCTCTGTACGCAGGAATGCCCACTCCTCATGAATATTTTATCATGTATATTATACAAATATACATAGATAGATGCAATATAAACATACATACACCAATAAATTAAAATATAAAATAAATGGATAAAATGCATACTATATAAAAGAATATATAACAAACATACATATAAATGAATATAAAAATACAGAACACTGTGAACTCAAAATTAAAAGAGAAGTATTAATACCTCTACCCATCCGACCCTAGTCAAGGGCTCCTCACTGCAGAGGTGGAGGAAGAAAGACTGGGAGGGGCTGAACCCAGCTGGGGTCAGGAGAGCCTGCCGGCCATCACCTCCCTCGTGTCTGACCCATCGCAGGGCCACACTCCGTCCCCACGCAGAACAAGAGCTGAGCAGTCAGCCGCGTGCACCACTCATCATCCACTGAGCAAATGGCACTCAGAACCTGACACCGTGCCCCACGCTCCCCTGGAACTCCAGCCCCAAGGTCCCAGTCTGGGGATGACCAAACTCTACAGGGCAGTGTGCACACTGCTTCTGGAGAACACCCCGGATCTGCCTGGAGGGCCTCTCAGAGGAGGTGGCATTTGAGAGGCTTTGCAGCACAGGAGCACCCACCTCATGCTAACATTCCCTGACACGGGGCTAGAGGACCTAGCAACACAGGAACAAGCCCGACCTCCAGCCCCCCGTGGGCACACAGGCAGGGTGCTAAGTGGGAGAAATGACCAGAAAGGGCGACACTTTCCATGTGGTGAAATTCCTTTGTTTTCTAACCATCTTGACAGGTCTGCCAATTTGTATCTGCCCAAGCTGTCCATTTCTGGAACCTATGATCTGAAAACCATCCTGGGCCAAATGGGCATCACCAAGGTCTTCAGTAATGGGGCTGAGCTCTCAGGGATCAGCGAGGAAGTGCCCCTGACACTCTCCAAGGTGAGCTTGACCCTGGTTTCCGTGGGTCAGACTGTGTAGGATGGGGCTGCTGCGCAGGGGGAGGGGACCAAGGGACACAAACGCACCTCCAGAATGAGGACTCTGAGGGATGCCACTGGACGCGCCAACACTGGGATGTGGCCAGGCGACTGAGTGAAGGAGGTGGCCTCATGTGCACTGGCATTTTAGGGTCGTCCTCTGAGGATGTGTCACTGACCCTCTGCTGCCCTTTGGCCAGGGCCACGCTGGGCCTGTTCTGACAAAGGCAGATGTAGGCTCAGTGGCTTCGCAGACTCTTGGCCCCACATCCGGTGACACTGGGGGCTGATGGTGAGTCGGCAAGTCCGAGTTCATAAGTGACTCTGGCTAAAGAGGCTGTTTATTCGGGAGAATTAGAGGTGACCAAAACCCACTACACTATTACACGGCTACGAACTGAGTGCCGGGTCCTGGACTAGATGCTATAAAGGTCCCCATCAAAGGCCCGGTCCCCGGGGGCTTTAAATCAGGCACTAGAAACAAGAGGCGTGGCAGGGAGCACAGCAAGTTCAAGTAATTCTGCCTCCTGCGGCAGCAGGGTGTTTCCAGGGAGGCTGAGAATGTGGGTCAGGAAGAGTGAGGGCGAGCAGGTGGAGTCGGGCTGAGGGGCTGACAAGCCGGGCCCAGGACTGTGTGTCCCCCGCAGGTGGTGGAGACAGGCCCCAGGAACTCCTCCCTGGGCTCCACTGTCCTCATCAGGTCTTTCTCCCAGGCCTTGTGGGTACAGGCAGCCTGCGTCCACTCACAACAGGTGGTGTTCTCTCTCCCACCCAGGCCATGCACAAGGCTGTGCTGACCATCGACGAGAGAGGGACGGAAGCTGCTGGGGCCACAGTGCTGGAAGCCATTCCCATGTCAATTCCTCCAACCGTCGAGTTTAACAGGCCCTTCCTCATCATCATCTATGATAACATCACCAAGAGTCCCCTCTTTGTGGGAAAGGTGGTGAATCCCTCCCAGAAATAACTGCCTCTCTGGTTCAGCCCTCCGCTCCCAGGGCAGGTCCCCTCCCTAGGCGACAATAAAGAATGGCTGACCTGGCCCGAGCTTGTGTGTGCCGTGCAAAGCCCTCATCCTCTTTCCTTGAGTCCCCTTTCTTCCCCAGGATGTGCGCACTCAGGCGCCCACTACGCGGAGGTTTGTCTGACACCTGCACCTTCCGGCACTGGGTGCCACGGGATGAAGTGCTGGCTACCAGCCACGACTCTCTGCCTCATCCCCTACCCCAGGGAAAGCTCCAGGTTTCCTGTCTTTCCTGGGAACGGCTAGGGGTGGATCGCACAGCTCGAATTCCAGCCCGTGGCCCCCGCTCCGCCAAGCGTCCCCTGGGTACTCTGGATAAGCCCCTACCTGTGCCCTGTGGAGGTCCTCCCCTGGCAGAGCTGCCCACACAAGGCTGCCTCCCCAGTGCTCACGGTGCCCTCAGCTCACACAGGGCACAAGCAGCCGCACCTCCACAGCAGAGAGGTGCCCTTCTCACGCCACACTGTCACCTGAGCCAGGTGGGGCCCCAACTGCTCATAGGTACAATGGCTCTGGCTGATCTTTTCAGGAGCCCTTTCCAATGGGGCTGGATGGGGAATATATATTCTGTCCTTGCCATTCCATCTCTACCCCAGGACCCTCAAACACATCCTCCTAGAAGCAGGTCTCTGCTCCCCAGGTCAGACAAGGGTCTCTGGTGTTGGCCCGTATCACCTGCACAAACTCACCAGGACAGCCACCCCCCCCCCCAGACACACACCCTACATCCTCTCGTCCTCCCTCGTTGTGAGGACAGGATGTTCTGGATGGCTCTGGGAAGTCATTATAATGATCCCTCAGTCATGGGAGGGGAAGTAGAGCAAACCATCGACCCCAGTGGCCCTGCCCGCCCTCCCCTGGCCGAGCTCTGAAGGGGGACATAGTCAACCTGCCTTGCTCCTGCCCCATGGCCCTCCCTGTGGTCTTCAGAGGAAAACCACAGCTGGAGGCTGGACCGTAGCTAGAGGCGTCTGGCGAGCAGCCCTTCTCACTCAGAGCCACACAGCTCCTTCCCATCCTCGAAGGCCCTGCCGAAGGACCCCGGCAGTCGGCATGGCTGGCTGGACCCCCAGCCTAAAGGAGCCAGCTCCCTGGAGTCTCACGGGGACGGGCTTTTCCTGGGGAAGGGCTGCCCCCTCCCACACAAACCTCAGATCACAGTCTAAGCCGCCCACCAGAGGTGAGTGGGTACCTACAGTACCAGGCTATGTCACAGAAGTTTACACTCGTCAAAATGGCCACACAGGTGCAGTTTTACCTCCACGTAATGGGTGAAGATTCAACTATTTCCCAAACAAGCCTCATAGCCTTTTGAGTTTTCCCTGCCTAGAGATTTCCAACTTCCACTAATTCCAATAGTGATATGAACATTGCCAAACAACTCCAATGAAGCCAGACCTGAGGGTCCAGGGCCCTGGATCGAGTTCAGACTGTCACTTTCCGGCTGTGTGACTTCAGAGGAGGCCTCGAGCCTGTCCAAGCCTCGGTATATGCCCGTGTGAATATAAAACCTACCTCCAGTTGGTGTGAGGTTCAGATAGTTAAAACAGCTTTTACAGGGTAGCAGAGCAGGGAACCAATGCCAGGATTTCATCTGTGGCATTACAAGCTCTTTCTAGAAGCCTGGCTCCCTGGGAGAGACAATTCAAACGTTTTTTCACTAGACCTCAGAGCTGCACTGTGATGCTGTGAGCAGAGCCTCTTTGCCCTTACATGCCCATTCTACAGACGAGAACACAGAGGCTCAGGGAGGTTAGCTGTCTTGCTGACAGCCATGGAGGTAATAAATGACAGAACTGGTTTTAGGGGCAAACCTGTTCCTCTAAACCTCACCGAGTCACCCATGTCCCCCGCCAGACAGCCCCACTGGGCTCGTGAGGAATGCCAACCTCCAGTCCACACGGGTCCACCTCTGGCCCAACCCCTGCCAAGCACACAACTGCTGGGGGTTCCGGGCTGGTCCAGTCAGCTCTCCCTCCAGCAGGGACCCAGCTCTTCCCTGAGACAGATGAGAAAGAGACACACCAGCCACCTCCGGCCGAGGCAGGGACAACGTGGGAGTGACATTCCACCTCTGTCCCAGTTTGCAGGGAAAAACACAGCCGTTCGATTCTAAACATAAATAACAAGGTTTTGAGTTTAAGTGCAAGCTCTGCCCTGACTGGTGGGTGGGCCATCTGAGGCTCACTTAGTAAAATGAAGACCAAGGTCAAGAGGGCTTCTGAGCTCCCCGTATGTGCACTGACTCGGAAACAGGAAATCCGGGCTACATACTGATTCCCACCCTGTGGGCTCCCTTGGTCCCCTCCACAAGCCCATGGGGTGGGCATATGTTAAACACGAAAATGCAAACATTCGCTGGGTACCCGCAGAATCCTGGAGATAGAGAGGAGACCTAGGTCCCACCCCCAAAGAACACTAGTCTGTCATGGTGACAAAGGAGGCCTTACAGCGTGGTGAATGTGCACCTCTCAGAGTCCGTCCACTAGCACCAGTCCACAGCCACACACAACCTGGGCCGCCAAGAGCGGCCTCAGAGGCTGAGGCCTTTCTGTCTGTCCTTTGCTGGGTGCTCACAACTGGTCCTGCCAGCAAAGCACACAGCCACGCTCACGGCCAGACCTGTGGGGCAGCTTCGGAATGAAACTGAGCTGAGTCCTGGGGGACCAGTGGAATTAGGGCTGCCGAGTGGAGAAATCAGAGAGAGGCACACTCACCAGGAAGCTGCCTCCCCGCAAGGACGCAGGCAACAGCCCAGGCTGCCAGCCACTGAGATTCTGTGCCCCTTGTTACCAGAGCAAAAGCCAGCTCCTCCTGACTGACGTGCCTGGAGTCGGGAAAATGCCCTCCAAGACGTCTGCACCGAAGAAGCAAGCCTTCAGTGTTGGCTAAGGTCAGAAAGGTCAAGGGAAGGCAGAAGAGCTATCCTCAGGAGGGGACCACACTAGAAAGTGCCAGAAAAGGGGTGGGAAGCTCATGCCAGGGGGAAATCGTCCAGGTGCTGTGGTGAGCATGTGCCAGGAGACCTGGGAGGTGAAGTGTGAAGTCACACGGGAGTGGAACAGTCCCGCAGGGAGGGCGTGGCCCCAGGTGCTACTGACAGATAATCAGCAGGGACATCTGCTCTCTGAAGTCAAAGCTGCTTTCCACGACCAGGTGCTCACTTCCTGCCACTCATTATCACTTTGATGACCTGGGAACAAAGTGAACACCACGCAAGAGGAGATCAGAGCTGTTGGGGTTATTCTGAATGTTACAGTGGGACCTGCACAGAGAGCACAGTAAACGCAGCAAGCTAGAACCAGGTATCGGTTTTATTTTTTCATTGAATCGATTGGGGTGACATTGGATAATAAGCCCCACAGGTTTCGAGAGCACAGCTCTGTAACGCACCATCTGCACACGGCACCGCGCACGCACCACCCAGAGTCGGGCCTTTTTCTGCCCCCATTTATCCCTGCTTTGCCCTCTTCCACCTCCCCTTACCCTCTTTCTCTCTGGCAATCGCCACACTGTTTTCTGTGTCTGTTTTTTGTTCTGTTTTGTTTGGGTTTGGGTTTTTTCCCTTAATCTCTTCACCTTTTCCACCAATAGCCAAGATCTGGAAGCAGCCCCAAGACCTGGAAGCAGTGCCAGGGCCCCTCAGGAGATGAGTGGATAAAGAAGCCATGGCACGTTCACACATGGGACACTACACAGCAGAAAGAAAGAAGGAGCTCTTAGCCTTTGCGACAACATGGACGGACCTGGAGAATATCATGCTAAGTGAACTGAGCCAGTCAGAGAAAGACAAATACCATAAGATTTCATTGAAATGTGGAATCTAGTGAACAAAATGAACTAACAAATAAACTTGAAACCAACTCATAGATACAGAGAACAGACTGTATTAACTTTAAAAAGCTATTTTTCTTTAGTCCACAGTTATCAATAGGCTCAAATATGTTCTCAGTATTATCACCTCATTTCCCTTCGTCCTGAGGTGAATTTCCACATTAAAATGTTAGGATCGAAACGCTAAAGGCCGTGGCACAAAGCACAGAGAATTTGGGAATCCCACACCAGCCTGTAGTCAGTGCAGACCAGGAGCAGGCCTCTGTGTCCTCAGTTTCCATCGCTGCAAAACAGGGATAATGAGACCTAACTCACGACAAGTTCCTTCTATGGACTATACTGCAAAGCCATTTTTAGTGCCGGCTCTCACCGAATATTAAACATTAATCAAGATCGTAGATCCCAAAAGTAACAGTTTGGGGCAGCTTCCCGCTCCCTGCCTCTTGATTCACTGACAGAATTAACAGGAGTAAATGGCAGATGAGCGAGCCATCTGTCACCACGAACCCTGATCTGGGAGTCACGCAGCCTGGGGCCTACCGCTCGCAGCCCCCGGAGCTGGGGAAGTCACCTCCCTCCATGAGCCTCAGTCTTCTCAGTAGCAAAATACGAATGTTAAGGTCCCCGAGGACTGATATTCTGCGAGATTCTAACCTCGTCAGGGCGGCCCAGTGTGGTTCCTTCAGTCGGTGGCTCCCAGCCAAAGCAAGATGCACTTTGGTCATGTGTGGTCGAGGGCTCCCAGTGCCCCACCCTTCGGGTGGCCTCGCCCCCACTGGTTCCCCTGGACTGGGCCACCTGGGACAGGCACAGCAAGGTTCTGTGACGGTATCAGGTGCTCACTGGCTGGGCACTGCAGGCTCCCCAGCCTCACTCCCCACACGACAGAGTGGGGGGTTACTGGGCCATAGAATTCAGCACCCAGACCTCTGAGGCTACCCTGTAAGTAGGTGAAGCCGCGAGTGTGTAGGACTGCCCAGGAGATGCACCCGGCCCTGCAAGTGTCTCTGCAGAAGTGAGCTCCCCCTGCTGAGTAATTCTCCAACAGCCTCCTCCCCAGCTGGCATTGGGGGGTGAGGCTGGGCCACTGTGCCAGAGTTACTGTCACCACCCGACCGAGGGGAAACCTGAGGCACAGGGTCAAGATTGGAGGCCGGTCAGTGAGCCTTCACTGCCCAGCTCAG